AAATAGCATTTATATGCAAGTGAAAAATATCTTGTCTACTGGCACACGTGTAGTTAGTTACACAAGAGAGCAAAAACAAAAAAAAGTGAAACTTGTGCCGTAATTAAAAAAGATAAGCAGATAAAATTGCTTTAGCATGGAGGATGATGGCTAAAATATGAATTATGGGAGGCGTGGTAGGTAGATTATATCACAATTCCATAAGCTTACCATGGCAAATGCTATGTGCTTATAATGGTAGAATCAACCACCAGATGGCTAGCAGCATATCCTGTGCCCCATGCCACCACCCAAAATACTGTCCTGGGTCTTGATAAGCAAGTCTTGTGGTGACATGGCATCCTAGAAAGAACTGAGTTAGAAAAAGGTACTAATATCTGAAAAAAAAGCCTCTCATCCACCTGGGCCAAAGAGCGTGGCACTGAGTGGGTATGTCACATCTGCTATCATGCACCAGCCTCTAGAAAAATTGAAAAATACAATGGACTGTTAAAAACTATACTGAGAGTAATGAGTGCTGGGACTTTGAAACTTTCAAGAACCTGGGTGGTTAATGCATATGGCGGTTAATGTGGAAGGATAGGGATCTCCGTTGTGTACCTCAAAGTAATTTGATGTTGGGTGAGAACAGCCAGTGATTTAAATTGTAAGATGATAATTACTTCATAATATTGTATGTCATCAATGAATTTACGGTCTTGTATGACAGATGGATCTCAAAGTTAGAAAGTGAATGAATACCATTGACCATGTACAGGGATGGCCCATAGACTACAGGAATAATATGTGTGTATATGTATTTCAAAAAGCAAGATAGGTGATGGTAATTAGTTAGGATGTGTAGAAACTGTGGGAGCAGAGCACATGCAAATGGCATGGAATAAAGGGTGGATATTGTCTTAGATTTAGCTGGGACACAATTGTTTTCTTCAGAGTGTCAGGTATGATGCTCTGTTTTGGTTCTAGGAGGAAAACAATGTTGGCAGAATGCACATGCCTACAGTTGCTGTACAGAGCCAAGACTGCTCTCATTGAAAGACCTGAGGAGCTGGGAAGAAACAGAATTAGGACAGCTGACTTAAACTGACCAAAGGTATATTCTATACCGTATGAAGACATGTGGAAGGAGAGTTTTGAAGGAAGTGGGAATTCAGCTGGCTCTCTTCTACTTTCTTGGGAGGAGAGCTGGACATCAGTAGGTGGGTGGTGAGCAATTCTTTGTGCCTCACTTATGTATATATATATGAAAATATACTGTCATAACTACTATCCTTGTCCTATCACTATCCACCC